TGTTTGAATCCTTACCGATGAATTGATTAATATACGGAACCACTGGAAAAACAACAACAACAACACACCTATGAAGTGATTAAAGGTTTTGCTACATGACAGGTAATTCCAGTTTCACTTGCGTCTGAGCACCACCTAACGGAAATCAGGAAATATTCTTCTTTCTTCATGTGATTTAGTTAAGAACTTGGAATAAACGAACCACTTAAATTTAATATTATTGTGTCGTGTCAAAAAGTATTTATACAATATCCATAGTTTGATTTATTGAAAATTAGATAGGAAAAACTTAGCGTTACGTACACTTTAGTCATAGGAGTTTATAACGAGTTTTGTACGGTTCACTTTGTCATGCTGAATTTAATCTCAACACACTCAAGAGTGGCTATATGTTTACTGATATTGTAACTCATCTGTTGTTGTGTTTTTTTTTCAATCTGATTATCATGAATAATTTAATTAGTGATTTATGCACAAAAAGACCATCATTATATTTTAAGGAAAAGGTTGAGGAAATGTTTCGAAACTTACTAATTTTCTCCTAAGGAATGTTTATAGAAGCAACACAATTTAACAAACTTGTCAAGAATGTTTCGTTATCGAGAAAGAGAAATAGCAGATGTTCAAATTAACAGGAAAAGTAAGTATCAAATTATCCATCCTGTGTTAGGTGGATTGTTTCTTTTGATCATATAAACAATTTAGGTGTTTGTAATGGTAAATGATTAAAATACAATTTAGGTGTTTGTAATGGTAAATGATTAAAATACAACTTAGGTGTTTGTAATGGTAAATGATTAAAATACAACTTAGGTGTTTGTAATGGTAAATGATTAAAATACAACTTAGGTGTTTGTAATGGTAAATGATTAAAATACAATTTAGGTGTTTGTAATGGTAAATGATTAAAATACAACTTAGGTGTTTGTAATGGTAAATGATTAAAATACAACTTAGGTGTTTGTAATGGTAAATGATTAAAATACAACTTAGGTGTTTGTAATGGTAAATGATTAAAATACTTAACAATTTAATAAATGTATTTTTTTTTCACACGTATTTCAAAACCAGTCCAACTAACTTATCTATAGAATAGGAACAATTCCTACATTCTAATCTCTTTCATCACTGCCTTTTGAACTTTTCAGAATGCGTAACTTTTATTAATAGTTCACCCCAATCTTAAAGAGATTATGAAACTTAATCGTTTAATCTATTTTGATTAAACTTCGTTAATCATTTTCCTAAACGGGGTTTCCCACGTGATATCGCCTACCAAGGAAAATATATTCGGTACCAAGCCGGATGTGACAGTCTCGACGTAGAATTACACGTGTAATTAAGGAGAAAATAACGTGAAAACTTAATATTTCAAAGGCAAAACATTTCACCTTGTGTTTAACTCATTCAACAACTATTCCCAATATTATCATTGACACGACATAAAATCGATATAAGATATGTTGACAATGATCAGGTTTGACAAAGTACATGAAATATTAATTCATATTTAACAACATATATCAAACAATAATTAATATTTGTAGAGTCTTGAAGATGATGAAGATCTAAGCAATCTTGAATGTAATGAATATTTATACTTAGCTGTAACTTAACTATCTTAAATATAAGCTCTTTATCTGTTTGTGAGATAAGTTTATGGACTTACAATACTAAAATCCGGGGTTCGATTCCACGTAGTGGACACAACGGCTATTCCAATTTGGCTTTGCTCCAAAATAAACAAATGTAAAAATATATAATTAAATTAAATGAATCCGTGAACTTCTTTCTAATATAACATGTTTTTGTATAAGGACATTATATAGTTATAGTAATTAAATATTAAATCATTTGTATTGAAAAGTTCATTTATACCATATAACCATGCATGGAAAGGTAATATGAATAATGAAACCTAAGTTACAGATTATATCTAGGGCTTTCAAGGGACGGGTTTGTTATGATTTGTATGTTATGAATTTCGCGCAAAGCTACACGAGGGCTATCTGCGCTAGCCGTCCCTAATTTAGCAGTGTAAGACTAAAGGGGTCACCACCACCCACCGCCAACTCTTGGGCTGCTTTTTTACCAACGAATAGTGGGATTGACCGTCACATTATAACGCCCCCACGGCTGAAAGGGCGAGCATGTTTGGTGTAACGGGGATTCGAACCAGCGACCCGCAGATTGCGAGTTGAGTGCCCTAACCACCTCGCCATGCCGGGCCTCCCAAGGGACGGGAACGTTAGTGATTTTTGTGTTAAGATTCTTTTGTTTGTGTAAATCCAAGCCATCATAGAAACATTAAATTAATATCAGACAGTAATGTCCACATTTTCGCTCAAATGAGACATTTTTTAGGTTTACATATCAAGTGTTTTTCTTCCTATATCTAATTTAAAAACAGCTTTTGTAGCTGCTAAAATATTAATAATGAAAAATCAACAAATCAAAGCTGATGACACAGCAAAACATAACATTATACCCGATAGTGTAGTGGCAAACGATAGCAGAACGTGCCTAAGGCTGTCAGATATTGTAACAAAAAACCACAGCTTATTCATATGTAAAGGAAAACTTTCTATTGTTATATTATGCTCAGAAGTCTTTGTATTTTCTGTGTTTTCGAGTGAATATAATTAGAATTATGAGTTTGCTATCTTTTTTGCCTAGAGTAAGTAAAATACAAGATAAAATAGGCACAACAAAACATAATTTACTGAGCCCATTTTAAAATTTAATTTACTACATATTAAAGCAGTACAGATTTTACCTCACACTGTTGTTTATCTTCCAACATAAAGTTAGACAAACAACGATGTAATATTTTCTGTTTTACTTTCAAAAGGAGTATAAACTAATACAAGTTTGCTGAGCCCAAAAAAGTAAAAAGAGAGACAGATTATTTCTCTTGACAACAGATTTTTTCTTTGTTCTCAAGTCTCCCGAGACTTGATAACAATTTTAAATATATAAAGAATTATGAACTGCAATAGCTACAAATTATTTAGGCTGGCGAAGCTCCACAGTTTGCCTTAAAGATGACCAAAAAAATAATAGTATGCGAAACCATTTCTAACCTATGGAGACGTTAACTTGAATAAGCCTTTATTGAGAAACCTATGAAATATAAAGGCAATAAGAGAATCTCCATATACAACATACTGATATATCTAGGAGTCAACAATGCCCTGTTTATTAGAAATGACTTGAGTCTTTATATAATATGACATTTCAATTTGTTATTCTACTCTCTCGTTATCTTAAGATATAACGATTTTTATTTGGACAGGTGATATAGGCAAATATGAATTAATAACTTAAAAATTACCATTAGATCAAATAGGTTGTCTGCTGTGTCCACCCCGGATTTTTTGCTGTATGTTCGTAAAGTTACCCACCAGGGGACTAAAAATTACAACCATTGATATTCTTTATGATACGTTTGTATAGATACTTCATGGTTTGCTGATCTGTTTTTGCACATGATGTATACATCTGGATGAATTTAAAACCTTTGAATAAAATGCTGGTTTTTGTTCGTATGTTTTATAACATGGAACTTTACTATACAATATTTCATCATCAGTCACACGAAATGTGTATGTTCGAACTATTGTAAAGATCAGTTAGTACTTTTCATTCAAAATTAAAAATAAAAAGAAGTGAACATAAGAATGAAAGGGTTAATCTGATGATCATTATCTATTCAAGGTTATTATATTTACTCCATTTACCTTTTACTTATAACCTGTTCTTATTTTTTAAGTATTATTAT